TTCCTGGATCCGTGATTGGATTGGCGAAAGCATTCAGGTGTGATTATCGAGATATTAAGACACTTGACTTTCAAAAAGTATTCACAGAGAAACATTTGGAAATGTAAATATTTGGTGACAATCTTGTGAATCTACCCAGTGATTCTTGAGAAGATCTTTTAGCAACTATGCTATTTTTTTTTTTTTACATTTCCCTTATTTCTCCCTTTGTGTAAGGGTCGCATCCCTATGTTAATATAATTAAAACCCTTGATTTTTGCATAAGAATGGTGAAGGAGCTATGAATTTTTAGGCCCAAAAAGATGAACATTGAAAAACCTGAAATTATCTGGTCCCAGCAGCAGGTCACTGTAGAAAAAGAAAGGGGCGATTCACTTCTCTCTGATAAACACTGTAACCAGAAGAAGATCTACAGTGAGATTCGCTAGTTCCCATACTGATGATGATGCTTTTGCAGAGATTCCAGAATCAATGCAAATTATCAAGCAACATATGATGTCAAGCAAATTATCAAGCTACATATGATGTCAGGCAAGATATCAAGCAACATATGATGTCAGGCAAGTTATCAAGAAACATATGATGTCAGGCAAGTTATCACGAAACATATGATGTCAGGCAAATTATCAAGCAACATATGATGTCAGGCAAGTTATCAAGCAACATATGATGTCAGGCAAGTTATCAAGAAACATATGATGTCAGGCAAATTATCAAGCAACATATGATGTTAGGCAAGTTATCAAGCAACATATGATGTCTGGCAAGTTATCAAGAAACATATGATGTCAGGCAAATTATCAAGCAACATATGATGTCAGACAAGCTATAAAGCAACATATGATGTCAGGCAAATTATCAAGCAACATATGATGTCAGGCAAATTATCAAGCAACATATGATGTCTGGCAAGTTATCAAGCAACATATGATGTCAGGCAAATTATCAAGCAATATATGATGTCAGGCAAGTTATCAAGCAACATATGATGTCAGGCAAGTTATCAAGCAACATATGATGTCAGGCAAATTATCAAGCAACATATGATGTCAGGCAAGTTATCACAAAACATATGATGTCAGGCAAATTATCAAGCAACATATGATGTCAGGCAAGTTATCAAGCAACATATGATGTCAGGCAAGTTATCAAGAAACATATGATGTCAGGCAAATTATCAAGAAACATATGATGTCAGGCAAGTTATCAAGAAACATATGATGTCAGGCAAGTTATCAAGCAACATATGATGTCAGGCAAGTTATCACGAAACATGATGTCAGGCAAATTATCAAGCAACATATGATGTCAGGCTAGGTTTTAAGCAACATATGATGTCAGGCAAGTTATCAAGAAACATATGATGTCAGGCAAATTATCAAGCAACATATGATGTCTGGCAAGTTATCAAGCAACATATGATGTCAGGCAAATTATCAACCTACATATGATGTCAGGCAAGTTATCAAGCAACATATGATGTCAGGCAAGTTATCAAGCAACATATGATTTCAGGCAAATTATCAAGCAACATATGATGTCAGGCAAGTTATCACGAAACATATGATTTCAGGCAAATTATCAAGCAACATATGATGTCAGGCAAGTTATCAAGCAACATATGATGTCAGACAAGTTATAAAGCAACATATGGCAGGGGTTCTTGGCTAGATTACCAGGTTCCGAGACCTGCACTTAACTAGAGTGTTTCAAGGAAACGCTTGCGTCATCTGCTATAGCATCGTTAAAGATGTAAATGAAACAAAGGGTAGTCATCTATATTTATATGATACAAGCATTGTAGATAAGACAAAGAAGAAAAAAATCACAGATAGTAAGACAGCGATAAATAATATATGTCGTAAAAGTTACAATCTATATAAATTCAAGTTTAAATGAGTAACCAATTTGAATTTGTTAAAAATACTCATCCATTCATACGAGTTTATTATTTTACCACGCCCCATCAAGCAAACTGTCACGCTGTTAGTAAAACGATAATACATCATATGCAGAGGAGTTTGAAAAAAATAACGAACTTGAAATGGTTTTCTCCACAAGCCTGAGCATTGGCGCAAAAAAATGGAGAGCTCTGTCGAAAGTTAAAGAAAAGAAGGCTGAATCTGAGTTCTTCATGAAAGAGTGTCAACTATTCCTTCGCCATGCGCTCGGCACTTTGAAGTGAAAGTTGCGGGTCCTTCGGATGAGACCTTAAAAACCGATCGAGGTTCCATTTCACGGCAAGCCTAGGCACGATAAAGATCCCTCACTGCTCAATGACCCTGAGTACCGAGTCAAGTCAACTCAGTAAAGGTCTAAATTTGAAGCCCTTCACTGGTATATGGTTACGTCTCTCTATGAGTGAAAAATTCTCGAACGGGACGTATAAAACAACATACAACCAATCAATCATGAAAGATTGCCTTAAAGCAGTCATTGAAGAACCTAATATTAGAATTGCAGTACGTTGCATTGTTAGAGTTGGAACAATCCGGGGCGATTACAGAGGCCCTCAAAATGAGGAATTAAGATAACACCACAGGAGTTCGCGTACATATCAATTTTACCGCAATTTTCAGTAAATAAAAAAATACAATTTACTATAATAATAACACGTGATATTATTATAGTATTACGTATTTTTTATTTAGTGATAATTGCGGTAAAATTGATTGGTATGCGAACTCCTGTGACAACACTAAGGTTCATGGAGAGGCCTGCAATCACATAACTGGTACATGGCCATGGGATTGAAAAGTCACTGATGTTACTAGGCTCCAGTCCATGCACTCACAGACGTAAAAAGAATCAAGACGTCCGACGATGGATGCCATGAAGGGTCTATGCAGAAAGATGTTAGAGAGCTTATGCTTTTTTCCTGTCTTGAAATGAGCAGGTGCGCTACAGAGCAAGCAGGCTAAGAAAGCTCTGGATATGAATTACGACCTGTGAATACTCGTGTGAGGCTATTGCCACAGGGTCTTTTTTTTTTCATCGTTTAATAAAATACATTTTAATTTTCTTGAATGGAACTTTCACCCACATAGAAGTTACTACTCACGTCGCATGACGAGACTCTTGGGCAACAACGTTCATCTGAGGCACCATATACTCCTCCTGAGAAATGGGTAGTCACATACATGTATCTGCGTGTAATTAAAAGAAACACCTTATTGTGGTCATAAAACTAATTAATCCATGATTTCAATCTTGAATTTTCAATAAATAGGTTTAATAAAAACTTTATACTTTGCGGCCATTTTGTTGCAAATGTTAATTATTGTAATTGAAGTATTTCTTTATAAGATTCTGCTCAAACGTTGTCCCAGATCAGGAGACAGTTTTTTAAAACTGATATTACATGTACATCCAAGAAAGATGCTTAATATACATGTATATTAAGATGGCTAGTTATGGCCAGGCTTTTCTTATGAAAGAAGACTTTTGCTACTTATGTATAAATGACTATACATGGACCTTTTATTGCAGTCCCATGAAATATGGAGATAACGAAAAGTAAGATAGCTCAAAAGTCCATTGAAACAATACAGATCGGGAGCAGAGCAAACATGGGCCTCTAAAAACATCAGAGGTGGGATCAGCTGCAGGTGCCATGCAGGAGTAAGTATCCCCTGTCGACATGTCAGACCCGCCGTGTGCTCCAGTCATACTCGTGCAAATGTAAAAATCCGTAGACAATTTAGTGTGTAAATAATGGTCTAACACTTAATATGAAAAACGTGACTGTTAAGTATTACGTCTATTGTTTATGACTAAACATTGAATTTATGGTCATGTAACGAATATAAAAAAAATATAATATACGGGCTTAAATACTAAAATACTTTATATTCAAATAGTGTTATATAAGGGGAACATTTGAAATTGAAGAATTAATATTAATTAAAAGATATTTCTTATATTTTCCTTTATAAAACTTGAACCCCAAATTGTAGTCCGAATTATCCCCAGGATCTATAAATTGAACAAACTTGATTGTACACAAAAGAGGATTCTTGTATATCAATCTTCAGTATTAAGGAAAGATTCATATAAGCTTCGTATTTTCTGGCTCCGTTTTTCTTAAAAAGAAGATTTTTGAATGACATCATTGAAAAAGAAGTGCGCATTATTTTAGAAAATATACATAATCCTTGACCCAAGCGCCTCATTGATAACGTGGCTAATCTACGTTGGATTTCAGCAGTTGATGTTATTTCAGTAGTGGGTTGCAATGGAGTATTGCTTTTCATGCTTTTGAAATGCATTTTTTCTCATCCAGCATCGAAAAATTCTTTCAATAATGGTGTGTTTCAAAGGTCACTGTTCAGTAACGAATTGTATTAAGAACGAGATGTTGTATGCCCAACAATCCGGAAGTGGGCGAATGCGGGTGGTTACGTTCCGATTACTTGTTCAACCCGCGTGGTTTCGACACGAATCCAAGTTCGACCCGAGTGGTTTCGTTCCAAAGTAATTAATTAACAATTAATTGTTTCGGAACGAAATTAATTAACACTTTCAACAGTTTTACATTTCATTTTTTCGTCTACATTTTTTTTTTATATCGTATTGCATATTTGTGTTAATTATCGTATGTAATTTAATTTGGAGAAACGTATGTTGTTTAGACAGTGCATATGTGATCACGGTAGATTTGACGAAGTATTTGATTATTTTATGGAAAACTTTTCAAATATAATTCATTACTAAATCAAATTTATCAACATCCATGCTCCGCGATAGTAGAAAAAAATGTTAGGAAACCTTCTCACTGCATGTTGACTTAACACGTACGGAAACAACTACCTATTGACACGCACATCTCTGAAGCCATACAATATACAGCTACCGAATATCCATTTGTTTACCTCACAGTGTCCTGTACTCAGATATTGACATGTAGGGATATATATTAGAGTAGGTCGAAACCACTTGGGTCGTAACCACGCGGGTCGAACACGGAATCAGAACGTAACCACCCGACACCAAGTGGGCGATTGATATTGTGTTGACTTGTCATGACGAAAAATCGAAGTCATTTCTTATAATGTCAATAACTGACAGGTGCCAGGAATCCCCTGTGCTTCATGTGGTTGTTGTTGGATTTCATCACAAAAAGGGATGCCAGGTACAAATAGGCAAATGGTCCTCGGTTTTTGAAGAATTAGGGGAGGGGGTTTGTCAACCTCTGGGTACATCATGGGTTACTGTATGTACGCATACACCTCAGAGTCGGTGATCAGTATCCACATTGCACTTTCACGTTTTGTTTTAACGGTGTTTCTAATCAGTTAATAGAAATTCTCAGGATTTTCTCATATTTATTATTCAGAATTATAAAATTGATCTTCCTTATTTCGTTATTGAGTCTTAAAGAGAAATATTTTCTTTCGGGCTATATAGTTGATCTGACCACTTACTAATCCTTATCTATATGCTGACAGATGTTTCAAGTAATGCTCGTATTGCTTATATTTACATAAGTTAATGACCATATCATAATATTTGTGCAGTTATAATCTATAACCCATGAATAGTATTATGTTTCAAATATTCACAGTATGACAGTTGCTAGAATATGTTGCATCAACCTTTAAATTAATGAAGTTACCAAGAAAATTTTGTCACCCTTCATCTGTTTATTATGTTACATGTGATAAATTTCATACCCAAATACTAGTCCAAAATATCTGATGTTTTCCTGGCTTTTTTTATGATTTGATATTTTAACAAATACCGGCACCATTACGAAAACTGAAAATTTTGCCACCTGCAACCAGAGTTGATTTTCGAAAGTTGCGAACAGAATTGAATGCCAAACTCACAATTTATCAATAGCACAATGCTTCTAGTACTTAGGCCAAACAAAAAAATATGTGTGGTTCCGGTTACACTTCCAAAAAAATTAGGGTAGGTAGGTAGGGAATTTTTTTTTTTTTTTAACAAAATGATTTTCTTAATTTTTTTCTAAATAATACCTATCACTGCTTTGCAAATGGCATTTAGATGAGGTGTGATAATATACTAGTCAATATTGGTAGGGGACACCTACGTGCTAGCTTGCTTTGGATTTAACACTATTAAACACTTGCACTATGTTTTGTAAGGAGGCTGTCATTGCTGAAACTAAAACTTAAACTGGAGCCATTAATGGAAATCGGGGAAAATTCCGGAAAAAATATGAAAATTGCCAAAAAAAAGTTTAGGGTCGGGGGTATAAAATAGGGAAGGTCGGGTAACCGGAACCACACATATTTTTTTATTTGGCCTTACCAATATCTATGAAAAGAAAACATCACTCCGTTTTGAGGCGGCAAATTCCCAGTTTCGTAATGGCGCCGGTTCTGATGTTTTCTTGGCACATAAAATATCAAATCATAGAAAAGCCAGGAAAACATCAGATATTTCGGACCACCCAAATACATGAGCCTTGAAAATACTGGAATTTGGGTTAATTAAAATCCTGCACACAGCTCAACAAGATACTGTACAAAATATTGACATAAAATATTAATATTGAAGGATCATATTTATTACTTGTACTTTAAATTAACAAAATTTAATGTAAAATAAAAACTTTTGCAGCTTTTAGAATTTCATATTCACAATGTTGAAATATGTATACTGTTCAAAGTCGTGTACCCTATGTGAACTTGATCTGTCTCCATTCAGACTGCTTATTTCTCATGACACTAAAGCAGCTTTCTGACTCTGAGTTAGAATAAGGTTATACAAGGCAGAGCAAATAAATAATGGATTGACAATCATGACACTGCTACACAGTGTTTGCTCGGATTCATGTTGTTTTCCAATCTTCTTTGCAGAGATATGTCATTCGTTCCTCTCTCAGAAACCTCTGCAATGTGCTCGTGTCAAGAATTTTCACATAAAGCCCACAAAAAAAAAAAACAAAAAAAACATGATATCCCAAGGATTATTTTAAATTATACTGTATTCTAGATCAACTTAGTAAATAGGTGCATATACATGTTGTCAGTTCTATACATTGATATTATTATACATGTAGGTCTGTTTCACTTCATTTCCCCATAGGTTGAATACTCCTATCCTCCACTTCTGGAGGGGAATGACGTAAACAGTTCCGAGGTCCCACCGGAATGGAAGCACCTCGCCTCCTTGGCTATACCTGATGGAGCACATAATTACAAGAAAGGTAAGAAAGAAAGAATTTTTTTTTTATATTGGCATTTGTTTGTAAAATGTATTCAATATGCTTGAAAGTACATTGTAAATGTATTTTAAAAAATGCATTTCTTTAATTTTTTCTTAGACTAGAGACAATTAACTTTCTTTTTTCATTTCCTGTTGGAAGATTCACTGAACAAGTATTGAGAAATGACAATGTTTTTACAGATACAATTTACTTTCATCTTCCATCTCGGGATGGTACATACAGGACTGTATATGGAGTGGCCTGCTATAGGCAAATTGACTCTTCAGTAAGTACATGAGTGAGAAACAAAACAAACACTGATTAATATAGTCACCACACAACTGTAATCATAGTAATACATATTTCATGTATTATGAAGGCCTGAAACCTCAAACAATACGGAATACAGGGAAATTTTCTCTTCCCCCGATTTTTAGTCTTTTACCTTTTTGCCTTCGACAAGTGGACATATTTCATTTAGGGCCAATTCAAAAAAGACAGGGTTATCTCTTTAACACAACTGTGTGTGGGTGAATTTAAAAAAGGGCAAAATCGTTTGTAAGTGTGAAAGGGAGAAATAACCCATAAACTACCAGTAATAAGCCTAGGTTGCCAGAGGATTTTTTTTTATCCTTCACATGTACTATTAAATCATGTCACTTGTACTATTAAATCATGTCACATGTACTATTAAATCATGTCACATGTACTATTAAATCATGTCACATGTACTATTAAATCATGTCACATGTACTATTAAATCGTGTCACATGTACTATTAAATCATGTCCCATGTACTATTAAATCATGTCCCATGTACTATTAAATCATGTCCCATGTACTATTAAATCACGTCCCATGTACTATTAAATCATGTCACATGTACTATTAAATCATGTCCCATGCACTATTAAATCATGTCACATGTACTATTTAATCATGTCACATGTACTATTAAATCATGTCACATGTACTATTAAATCATATTATACTTTCATGTAGATTAGTTGAATCTGATTTGTTGAGAAACATTTGTTAAAAAACACTATCACCCGCTGAATAATGAAGCCATGCCCTCCAGCGTAGCAACAGTTAACATTCCTTGACGCTGGGTGTTATTCCAAAAAATGTTGACTGTGCGGAATTCATGTGCACAAGGTTCACTGTAATATGTATTTGTATAAAACATTCAGTATAATATAATAAATACTGCATGTAGTTGAGTGTAACATTGAAAATTTTCACCCCTCGAAAACCATTGTCAACCTCGGCTGTGCCTCGGGTGACAATGGTTTTCTTTGGGTGAAAATTTTCAATGTTACACTCAGCTACATGCAATATTTATATAATGTCACATGTACTATTAAATCATGGGATGTGGATCAAATAAAAAACGAGAGTTTCATGTACATGTATACTTCTTGTAATTATTGATGACTAAGGTAATAACACTTCTTCACTTTTCAAATTTACAACAGTAATTATGATTTTTGTCTCTTACAATATTATACATATTTATCAGCTATAAGCATGATAAATTAATTATAATCAATTTAGAAGTTAAGAGGTTTAAATACTTGATTTTTTTATAAGTTAATTCCTTGGTAACTTAAATAAGCACACAATTAATGACATTTTTTACATATTCTTATACAAGTAAAACTTGTCTAATCCAGACACCAATGGTTCCATAGAAATTTGCTGTATATACAACTTTCCAGATTAAATAACATTTTTAACAATTGAATCTACCAAAAAGATCTTAGTTTTCATCATAATATGCAAGATTTCGGCTGTCTACTATGGAAATATTGCCAAATGTTTGAAGGAGTTGGATAGGAAGCCTGGAATACAAAAATCCAGATTAGACAGTCAGGTTTTACTGTATTTCCATATTCCCTAAAAGCACTGATTTTACAATAGATTCATTTTATTCATTGAATTTCCAGGAATTGGTGAAGAAATCCTCAGAAGTTACAAGGAGCACAGTCCAGAAGAGTGTTTGTGTTTTAAGTCGATTGGTGAGTGTTACATGAACTGGTATCAGGTTGAGATTGGAACATTTTACACCCCTAGTTTGGAACTTTTTGGTCTTGTTGACTATCAAGGAGATGCCATAGAATTCATCATTGTGAATTCATTCTAGAAAACACTGTATGAACCTGTACCTTGAACTCTATATTGAGCTGAGAGAAAAAAAACTACAAGATTGTCAGAGAATTTGAGGAATAAAGAAAAAATCCTCATAAAAAATGGTTTTAATTTGGTATACAAAAAACTTTTGTAATCCAGATGTTATGCATTCCATAACCTTATACAATGAAAACCCTTAGTCCTTTTCAGTAAATTCAATTAAAGTATTGTCTAATCCAAATTGATGTCTATTCTGGCCAATTTCTATGGAACGAGTAATATCCGGAGAAGTCATGTTTTACTCTACGTCCATTGTCCAACTCATTTGGAAATATTCATAGTTGTACTAGATACCAAGTTCAATAGTATATTATAGCATAAGTTACTGCTTAACAGTTTCTTATGACATTATAAGTATGACATGACATTATACATTGTAAAATATAAAAATTTCAGTGCTCACTTAAAACTCAAAATTTTAAATGAAATTATTACAGAAATACATGCATGTACTGTTGTAATTTTTTTGTTAGGTGTTGCAGGCAGAACACTTTGCCAAATACCTAAGTTTATAGTAGATATTTGTCTGCCTTAGAGCATCCAGTCCATCAGACTCTTGTACATTGTACATTATAGTAGAAATGACTATATAATCTCTCTAAAAGTATTTGCATTGTGATACAAAAGTGTACATATATACAGAGAGAGTTCGAGAGCCATTGAGTGTTATTATCAATGGATATGCATAATCTATACAAGCTTTTGAGGCATTATATGTGTAAGTCTATTCTTGTACATATTATGTGACTGAAATAAAATTAGAAACACCATTTAGATCGTACAAACATAATGAGTTACTACTACAGATACCATTCAACTTTTTAGCATGGAAATATACATGTATTATAGTCAAAGTGAGGAAAATGTCAGCTAGTGTTCTGATATATTTAGAACTAAATTAGATGAACAATTATATGCAAATGACAAAATGTTAATGGGTTCTTAATCATTAAGAATTAAAATGTTATTCTTGTTTTTCAGCCTCTTTATGGTCTTATTCAGGCCAAGCTGGAGTTAATTACTCATGCTTATTTTAAAGAACTGGATTTTAGTAAAGTGGAAGTGCTAGAAGATACATATAAAAATCTCAGCTTGTCCTTGACAGAGAGTCTTAGGGATGGATCCCAAGTTTTTCTAGGTGGGATTTTTTTTGACATTTTTGAAATTAAAGTAATTTATTCACATCTTGATAATTTGAAGTTATTGATATTAATCATGTAGGTATACAAATATAGTTTAATAAACATTGTTATAGCAAAACATTTAATAAAATAAAGGAAAATTGTCTATCCCTGGCACTTCATAATAAGTGTGTTCTACTGTATGATAAAGAATTCAGGAATACCCATATTAGCATCATTTGCTGTTTTTTTTTTTTCTGTAGGAATGTCGGTTCGAGATGTGGTGACACAATTCAGACACAAAATAGTACTACTTTTCAAACTAATCCTCCTGGAACGAAGAGTAAGTTACGTGTTATAAAAGATGTACAAGTTAATTCAGCAAATTCAAAGACAATTCATTTTGTGTTCCATACTCTTTCTAATCGGCTGTCAGTGAAGATTTAATTACAGATGGATTAATTCTATCATCAAAACTTCATTTATTTAACAGTTTACCTCTGACTTTAATATACCTGTGTCCAGTGTCAAATAATAATTGGAACTGTCGAGGCCCAATATATCATCACTACAAAAATTTGAGCCTCCTTATAAAATATTGAACCCAAAGTACCAGTATGTGTATTATGGCCATGATATACATGTATTGATCCCCATTAAGATTTTCACATTTGAAAGATTAAGGGGTTTTGACAAGGGGGGGATGGGGGGGGGGGGGTGGAGGGGGATTGTCAAAATGTTATGTTGGTGAAATTTTGAACCCAATAAGAATAAAAATAATATAAATGATATAGGTACATGTATGATCTTCTGCTAAGTGAGGCGATACCTAATTAAGTAAATCGGAAATATCTATGAATTCTATGTATGATTTATAAAACTGTCATCTTTAACATTCTTCTGTTCAAGTCTTGCCCTTTCCATTGGTCCGAATTCTACAGAATCACAATTTCTGTTCAATCCTCAAGTAGGAAATTACACAGATTTCTTGCATTTCCATTATATGTCTTGACTGAACCTTGAGCACTGTGTCAAATTTCCAAACAAAATATTTGACCGCATACATAATATATTCCACCCAGAAAAATATACAGTATCTCCATCTTTATTACAGAAAAGAATTCTATTTTAGTGATCAATTAAAGGAGAATTAAATAATTAGTTACATGTAATTAAAATAATTTACTTAAAAAATATTTCCTTTTCACTGCATTGCACCAGTCATTTTACATGTATATGCATGTTCACTTACTTTATTTTGTCAAACAGTTTCATCATTTTGTTATGGATAGTTTTCCATTATAGAAACTTAGCAAGAGTAATTTCCCGTTGGCCATCATATTGGAGTCAATATACACAGATTCCTTTATTTTTTAAACAATTTTTTTGTAATAATTGGCATTAGGTTAAAAAAAACATTGATTTTCTGAAGAAGGAAAAAAATTTCTTAAAGCCTCTGATTATTATATTACTGAAGATTTTTCTAATGCACATGTTCTTCACACATTTTTAAATATGGTCAATCAATGAAAAGAACTCACCAGGTTGACTTCAAAGAAGGTGGACAAGGGGAGTAACTCAGAGGGAGGATGTATCATGTCTAAAAGAAAAACTTATTTTTCAGGTTCTCTTTACTGGTGCTCCTGTCCAGACTTTATGTAACACAATCCTTGCCATTCTCTCACTTTTTCCAGGTAAGACTATTTGCCTGACTTAATATCTGGTACAAGAAATATTCAGTTCTTGAAGAAAACTATAATTAAATTATAATTGAGATTACAAGAACAATTTCAGGTGTAAGCAATTGAAGTACAAAAAATACTTGTATCTCAAACTTGATGAGACCAAGATTAAACTTAGAGATATCTGAAAATTCAAAATAATGACATTAAAATACATAAAGAAAAAGTATTTGGGACTATAATTAAATCACTTTGACATATCCATGGTACACATACATGTATACATGTATTTGAGATATCAGACTGAGTGTTCAAGATACTAAAATTCAACTGTATTTATGTAAATATTGCACAAGTCTTGTATTAAAATTATTTGAATGAAAATCTCAAACTTCTAAAACAGTTTTATCAACATGTAGGTATGATAGAAAATGGATTAGAAGAATCAGCCAGTGTAGAGCTTAACAGACAACTGTCCCCCACACTGAGAAACGCAATGTGTTCAGACAGCAGTGAGGAATTTCTGGAGGTCTGTTACCATGATGAAAAGGTGACAATCACAAGGAGCTCTCCAAAGAAAGAAAAAGAGGTACAGAATCAGGAGAATTTTATGGCAATCATACTGCATGATGCACACTTTGCTCCATTAATTTTTGACAGAAAAATAGGGGTGTGTACTATGCATGAGACAAAAAATGACACCCATGCCATTCTTCCTTGTGCCCAGCTTAATTAAAAATTTAAAATCCAATATCCATGATTTTAAAGATCTAATGCCCTGTTCACACGGAGAGTTTAATTCGCAATAAATTAATGCGAAGTAAAATGATGCGAATTAAAATAATGCGAATTAAATTGCGTTCACACGACAGATAATGCGAAGTAAACTAATGCGAATTAAAATTTTATTTCTACAGTAAGGCTTTTCAGTAAGGCTATTATGACGTCATTTTCAAATCACGTCACCTTATGCAGAGCAAATCCATTTGATATAATGTCATAGTGTCTATACACATTTCAGTGATTAACGTAATTTTCCTTTGTTTTGCACTAAAAATGACATAGGTACCTATAACTGACCACCGTCATGTGGCAGGTGACTTAATTTTGCTCTTGCGCATGCGTAAAATTTAATTCTAATTAGCTTCGCTTAGCGTTCACATGGAGCTAATGCGAAGTAATTTAATGCGCAGTAAACTAATTCGAATTAAACTAATTCACATTAAATTCTCCGTGTGAACGCGGATCAAATTTAATTCGCAGTAACTTACGTTTAATTCGAATTAAACTCTCCGTGTGAACAGGGCATTAGAGTATGTGTATACCCAGTCTGAGTAAAGCTAGCCTCTAGATCTGGATCCCACTTGACTATTCATTTCATTTGCTAGGGAGCATAGTGGATAATTGAGGGGGGGGGGGGGGGCTGAAGTCTGATTGATAATCTGCCTTCATTTTTAAATTTAAGTTTTATGCAGGTACTTAAACAAACTTATTTTTAGCTTAATTTTGATAAAAGACTGATTTTTCAGACTCTTCAAGATCTGTGTTAACTTTTCTCTTCTTCCTCATATGACGTCATTTTGATCAAACAACTTCTGAATCAATGTTCATAAACAGTTAAGGGTCTTGTAAATTATATAAGATTTAAGGATATATATGTATCAACATATTTTTTAACTTTATTTTCTTATTCCATTGAAATTTAAAGAGTTGAATAATTGAAGGACCTTTGTGCAATTTTATGATGCCTGGTAATGTTGTACACCTCATCTGAATCAAATTTTGAGGAAATATATGTATCAGCTAAATTTATAGTTTTGTTTATTTGTTTTTAGAAATACAAAGATTTTCCTCATTTTCTATCTGTTCAAAATATATGATAATGTATACTGATTTTTTGTTTATGAATATCTGATGATACAATGATTTTAAATGAAGAATATCTTGGAAATTATTTGTGGGAAAGGTATGTTGTAAAGTACATGTACATGATTGTACATTGTGTATGACCTTATACATGTATGCCCAAGAAAGGGAGATCACCTCTCATAAAAATACAAAATGCAGTATCATGAGAAAAGATGCTCTAATAATGCCTCTGAAATAAATTAGATGATACTGTAACAACAGATAAATGTAGCACTTAATAATTATTAAATTTGAAACATTTCACAATTAAGCAAATTGTTGTTTAATATGAATGCAAAATGGTGGCATAATGCACCATGCAGTACACTAAAAACATTAACTCATTTTTGATGGGGTTAAAAAATATACTTTTTTATTAATTTTGTTAATAGGAAGCAGCATATACTGAACCAGAGGAACTTGAGATTCCAAGAGATGGAATGGACTCCACCAAAAAGACAGAAAATAATGATGCAAAGGATGAAAATAAGAATTCCAGCAATGTTCAAGACTTTGAACAGTCTCAGTGTGATGAGGTTCAAACAAAGACGGTGAGGAGCTTATCTGACACTGGGGAGTCAAAGTCAGAAAAACAAACCAAATCAAGTCGCTATAATGTTAAACGGACACTTTCTGAGAGTTATGCACTGGATTTTGAAAATGTGAATCAGGCATCATCCAGCTCTGGAAAAAGTGAAAATTCAGTTTCTTTCTCCGATGATCCTCTAGCCCACGTAAAGGATATCACCCAACTGAAGGCCATTCAAACTGGAACTATTGTAAGACAGCTAGACTCTGTGGTAAATGTTGAGGAATTCAATTTAGAAAAGCTAGAAAACTTGAGTGATGACGAGAAAGATCCCCCCTCTAAGTTTGAGATTTCATTGAACTTGGAGGATGCCCGAGAGGTGTTGAAAAGGAGTGAGGGGGTGGAGGAGTTGGACTCACCTGAGAGCATACAGAAGATTGATCAGGAGGACTGTTTCTCTTGGGAGGAGGATAGACTACTGTTAACCATTGAACACAAAGAATCCATTAGTGAAGTAGAATCATCAGATCAGCAAAAAATTAACCAATCAGATTCCAAGAAGCAGTCATGTGATACTCAGGATTCTGGGATTGATATTGGATCACCAAGTATAAAAGAATATGACAAGACGGATAGTTTTGAGAAAGAGAGTTCAGAGGTCACAGAAAAGGGCATTCCAGATAGTGACCCCAAAAGAAGTCCTGGAAAGAAGGCAGCAGCAATCAAGAATAAGATAAGTTCAGCTTTTAGTGGGCTGAAGGTGAAGAAGGGAAGTGGGATCCATGAGCCAACGTCACCCACCGACGAGAATTCAGCTGTGGAAATGAACGTTGTTCTGAGGTCTTCCAAACTTACACAAGATGACTGTGGTTTTCCACTTGCTGTTTTTACTAAAGTAAGATATCCTCAAGATTTTTACATAAAATATTGCTTGAAATTAATCTCAGAATCCCATCTCAATGCAAACTTATGCACATCTTAGCATGTCAATTTCACATGCCAAAGCAGAAATGATCATGATAGTGTATTTGTAAATTGTACATATTGTATTTATGTTTATTGTATGTAATTGAAAAGGATCAAGTGATCGAATCATGTGTTTTAACTGCTTGATTAAGAATTTGAAAATAATTGCTGTTTTGATTTCACTGTAGGGTTGTGTGCTTCATCCATACCTTTCCCTGCAGTACTTTGATCTTATGTCAGATGTCAATGTCAGAAGCTTTGTCATTGGAGCCACCAATGTACTGTTTAGACAGAAACGCCATCTGACAGACATTGTTATTGAGGTATATACCAAAAAAGTTAAAAATTCTTACAACTTTAGACATGTTAGACCGACAAAAGACATGAAAGGAAAAACTGGACATATGACCATGTTATCTCCTGTCATGGGTGATGTGTAAAGGGAAATATAATTTTAATTGATATGATTAAAAGGGATGGGCAATTACACTACAAATAATAAAAAAGCAGTTTAAAAAAAAAAATTCAAGGTAATGGTTCCACATCAATACATGTATTGATGATCAGGTTTCATGGCGCATCATAGACTCCTTATGGAGCAAGATTCCTTATAAATTTCTTGGTTAAAATACAACACACTCAGCATTGGGTGGTTATGCATGGATTCAAACAGATCTATTGATTTCTAATTTAAACATTCAGCTACTTACCTTAGAGTTCCAAAGCACTATTCAATCTACTAGAACAAAGAGAAAAAGAATTGAAACATAAACAATTAAAATTTGACCCCCCCCCCCTCCCCACCAAAAAAAAATGAAAAAAGTAATAAATAAAATGTGGATTTTTTAAACTGTGCAAAAGATAAATAAGAAAGGGAGGGTGATCAGAATTTCATTTATTGCAATTTTTTAACTGCCTGTTGACCTTTGACAGGTGTCTGAATCGGAGGAGGGTAAGATTGATATCCATGATCGAGAGTTATACCGTCTCCTTCATCTGACCACCGCTGACCTCCGATTTGCTGACATTATCATTAAAGCTGTTCTAGGGGAAGATTCTGATGACCCATACCTAGATGGAACAGGTACGTAAGATTTATTTTCACTTTGCTCTCATGAAGTGGAGGGATACATGACATACTATGCTTTTGAGAAGGGGCTGCTCTGTTGCTAATTTGGTGTGAATGCTAGATAATTTACTGGGGAATGCAACTCTCACTTTTGGGCTGAAATTTTTTTTCAAAAAATGTAAGCAAGACATTTTATTCATATTTTCCAGTGTTTTCCTTATGAGAATTTTTTTTTTTTTTTTTGCATATAAGGAGAGGAATGAGGAGGACTGAAACTCTGCTCAATAAAATGGTCTTTTTTTTATTATGTTGAATCATAAATGAAGATACATGTAAAATTCAAGCAAATTTACACATCATACAGGGCTACATTTGGCACAAATCAAACATTTTTTTTTGTAAAGGAAACCATGTTTGGTTCTAGAGGGGGATTTTCAGAGTTAAATTTGTAGGTAAAAGTAACAAATATTGACTTTGGAAAACCCCCTCTCCCAAGAAACTCCGACCCTTTGTAATATTTTAAGGGGAGCCATGTATCTCAAGAAAAGTTGACTTAGTACAAGGAGCTTGGAAAGTAACACAAATACTCTCTACCCGCTCTCCCTTCTAAAAAAAAAAAATGCACACACAAAATAGACAAGTTAATTTTTTTTAATTTTGCTTGTCAAAAAGTCTGAGATTTATTTGAGATGGTGTAGAAGCCACCCCCCCCCCCCTTTTCTGGAAAAGATTCATATATATCCATGCATGGAAACATAGTGATAAATCAATTTTAGAGAGTTATCTTTCTTAGGTAGAATGTAAACCCAACTTAACATGGGGGCAAATATTCTTTAACATCTATATGTACAGTATATTTGAAATATAAAGTTGTTATGTTTACAGAGTGGGAGGGAGGAGATGAATGGATTCAGTCCCAGTTTAAAGCCTACCTCCAATCAATGCTGGCAACCATGGAAAAGAATGGTAGGCAGAATCTCAAGTTTATTCAAATTAAAAAAAAAAATTGGAAATATAACAGTTATAGAAAAAAAAAAGAAAAGTTTTATGGATTTTCATTTTTTAATTCTTTTGTTGTGGAGAACATGTGATGTAAACAACATAAAAAGAATTGTTTATGCACAATGAAATTCACCCCAGCTTGGTCATAAATCTGGCCAATGAAAGTTATTTTTATGTTTAACGTCACCCACTTTGATAGGTTTGGAGAAATTGGCACTTGAAGAAAACAAACAAATCGGCATTTTTTAAAGTTTGTATTGCAGTTTGCTTTTACTTTTAGCAATTAAAAACTGCATTCCATGGGAATAGATAATATTTGGGCCCTGTATGAGGTATATTTGAGATGCAAGTCTATCATTTATACTGACAGATATAAAAAATGATCATTAGACAATAAGCCTACATGATGCACAAATGTTTACAGTAACTTGATACATGTAAATTCTTAAATACTCATTTGTTTGAAATTTTGTTTTGTTTAATTTTTTTTCTCCCAGGTTTTGAAATTTTTAGGTGATGTTAAATGTAGAATAAATTTCAGCCAGCCTTAAGAGAAAAAAATGAGAATGAAGTAATATGGAGTGAAGATAAAATGCACAGACATTTAGACCACTTAAATCTGACTCGCATATTCGAGGGGGGGGGGTATAAAAATATTTTCCTTAACCCTCCCTCCCCCCGGATATGCGCAGTCATCTTCCCAAGACAATGGTTTGATCCACTCCTCCCCTGTGGAGTGTAGCAGATTAGAAACCCTTGACCTTGGAAGAAGACCCCCAGCTGCCAGCTGGATTAAAGCAATCTGAAGGCTTGTGATAAAATTGGTACAGTTTGTGTTATGAATATGATTTTCAGATTCAAAGCTTCTTGAGGATTATGGGACAGCTTTTTGTCAAGCATACAGGACTACTCATAACTATAGGCAGTGGAGTGGAACCAGTCATCCAGGCATGGCTAATGTTCTGGTTGGGTAAGTACATGTGCACCTATATACAGTCAAACTTTGTTATCTCAAACTCAATGGGATTCAAAGGATCAAGATATTGAAGTTGAAAAATGGTAAGAATATACTTTGACAAAATTATGTGGTATTTGAGATATTGGAGTTTGAGAAACCAAAGTTCAGCTGCATGTAAGGGGCATAAAAAGTGATGTTTCAGTAGCTACATTAGGCTTTTTCAAGTTTTTTCTATGTGCTTTCTTTTTTTACACCCCAGATCAGAAAAAAAAAACACCAAGTCAGATTAGGCAAGGTATTGAGTGTTTGGTTGAAACTTTTTTTAATTCTGTCAATTTCTTTCTACATTTTACTGTCGAAATTCATGTAAGTATATACTGACTTGATTTTCCACAGGAATATATCTTTCAAGAAAAATAAAATTGTGAACTTAAGTCCATTGAATGATGTCATTTTATCACCATAAAGCATGTGTTTTATTTTTTGGCTTGTCTTTTTAGCTCACCTGAGCCGAAGGCTCAAGTGAGCTTTTCTGATCAAAATTTGTCCGTTGTCTGTCGTCGTTGTCGTCATTGTTGTTGTTGTTGTAAACTTTTCACATTTTCATCTTCTTCTCAAGAACCACTGGCCCAATTTCAACCAAACTTGCCACAAAGTATCCTTGGGTGAAGGGGATTCAAGTTTGTTCAAATGAAGGGCCACGCCTTCTTTCAAGGGGAGATAATAAAGAATTAGTGAAAATTAATAGCATCTTTAAAAATCTTGTTCTCAAGAACCAATGGGCCAAGAAAGATGAAACTCATGTGGAAGCATCCTCAAGTAGTGTAGATTCAAATTTTTTCAAATCATGACCCCCGGGGGTAGGGCGAAGCCACAATGGGAGATCAAAGTTTTACATAGAAATATATAGGAAAAATCTTTAAAAATCTTCTTCTCAAGAACAGCAAAGCCATGATGAGTCATATTTATGTGGAAGTATCCTCAGGTAGTGTAGATTCAAGTTTGTTCATATCATGACCCCCAGGGGTAGGGCGGGGCCACAATGGAGGATCAAAGTTTTACATAGAAATATATAGGAAAAATCTTTAAAAATCTTCTTCTCGAGAACAGCAAAGCCATGTTGAGTCATATTTATATGGAAGTATCCTCAGGTAGTGCAGATTCAAGTTTGTTCAAATCATGACCCCCGGGGGTAGGGCGGGGCCACAATGTAGGATCAAAGTTTTACATAGAAATATATATTGTATAGGAAAAATCTTTAAAAATCTTCTTCTCAAGAACAGCAAAGCCATGATGATTCATATTTATATGGAAGCATCCTCAGGTAGTGTAGATTCAAGTTTGTTCAAATCATGACCCCATGGGAGGGTGCGGCCACAATGAAGGATCAAAGTTTTACATAGAAATATATAGGAAAAATCTTTAAAAATCTTCTTCTCAAGAACAGCAAAGCCATGATTGGTCATATTTATGTGGAAGTATCCTCAGGTAGTGTAGATTCAAGTTTGTTCATATCATGACCCCCGGGTGTAGGGCTGGGCCACAATGGAGGATCAAAGTTTTACATAGAAATATATAGGAAAAATCTTTAAAAATCTTCTTCTCAAGAACAGCAAAGCCATGATGATTCATATTTATATGGAAGCATCCTCAGGTAGTGTAGATTCAAGTTTGTTCAAATCATGACCCCGGGAGAGGGTGCGGCCACAATGAAGGATCAAAGTTTTACATAGAAATATATAGGAAAAATCTTTAAAAATCTTCTTCTCAAGAACAGCAAAGCCATGATGAGTCATATTTATGTGGAAGTATCCTCAGGTAGTGTAGATTCAAATTTGTTCAAATAATGACCCCTAGGGATAGGGCGGGGCCACAATGGACTATCAAAGTTTTACATAGAAATATATAGGAAAAATCTTTAAAAATCTTCTTCTCAAGAACAGCAAAGCTATGATGATTATATTTATATGGAAGCATCCTCAGGTAGTGTAGATTCAAGTTTGTTCAAATCATGACCCCGGGGGTAGGGCGGGGTCACAATGTAGGATCAAAGTTTTACATAGAAATATATAGGAAAAATCTTAAAAAATCTTCTTCTCAAGAACAGCAAAGCCATGATGATTCATATTTATGTGGAAGTATCCTCAGGTAGTGTAGATTTAAGTTTGTTCAAATCATGACCCCCAGGGGTAGGCGGTGCCACAATGGAGGATCAAAGTCTTAAATAGAAATATATAGGAAAATATCTACTTCTGTATAACTGCCAAGCCATGATTAGTCATTTTGATATGGAAGCATCCTCAGGTAGTGTAAATTCAATGTTGTTCAAATGATGACCCCCAGGGGTAGGGTGGGGCCCAATGGGGGTTGAAAGTTTTACATATTAAGAACATATAGAAAAAATATTTCTTCTCAAGAACAGAAAAGCTTTGTTTAGTCTTACTGACATGGAAGCATCATCAGGTAGTTTAAAATTCAAGCCCCCCCCCCTCCCCCCCAGTTCAATACTGAACTGATTTTTGCTTTTGCCTAGCCAATAGCCAATGTGCTCAGGTGAGCAATGTGGCCCATGGGCCTCTTGTTTTTCTTGTTCATAAAGGTAGGTAAGTTCTTGACAGATGGATGCTAAATCGAGTAAATATTTGGAATAGCTTTATCACACTATCTGAAATCTTTTGTCCATTCATACATACTCTTTATCAATATTCTCAAATGTCCTTATCAAATATTTAAATTTTTGTTATATATTTTATCATTATCAGAAGTATGTAATGGATTTCTTGATATGATGCAATCTAAATGTAGGTTACAATGATGTTAAGTTCTTTTGAAATGATATTCCTATTCAAGGTCATAGTGTTTTAGGCATATAGATGCATATGCTGTTCAAATTGAGACATACAGTCATCAAACATTGACTGTTTATAAATCTTGTAATAAAGGCTTGTTGTGTCAGAAGTACATGTAGGTCATTAAAGGACAAGGTATGGTAATGGCCGAATCTGGCCCCTTATTTGATGTAAAAATCAGAACACAGTTAAAATTGTGATAGTTTGTAGTTAAGAACTTAAAATGATGCTTGTTTTAAAACCAGCACTAATTTTGATTCAAAGCTTACATGGAGGCCACAAGAGGGTGCAGAAGTAGGACATTTTCCCGAATTTTCTCAATTCTGGTTGAATTTCGTTAAATTTGAGACACTTTTCACTTCGAGAAACATAGAGCACAAGCTTGCCTATCTGAGATTTTGATACATAAGATGCATCTGATACTAGTGTATGAAATGTATAAATTTGGTAGATAGGCAACCTTGTGCTATATGTTTTCTGAACCAAAATGTGCTGTAAAATCGATGAAAATTTGCATAAAAATGAGAAAATTCAGAAACTGACATATTTTCTGACCTTCCTGTGACCTCTGTGTATCCCATAACTTAGGACCAGTACTCATTTTGTGGCAGAGATGACAACAGGTTTTTAATTGATAAACTATTGCACCATTCTAAAAGACACCCAAACCCAGGGGCCAAAAAGGAGTCTTAGCCTATCTTGTCCTTTGGAATTTCTAACCTTTCTGTAAGATAGTACTAGTAGTGTATAATTCATGCTTATGACTAGGATCTCTAGCCCAAATAGGGTGTATAACAATACATTGATAAATCAATGCATTGTGATACAGAGGGGTCAATACGATGCATACATAAATTGAAAAATCTTTATTTTTTCCCAACACTTTCAGGAAATATATAATGCACATGTTTTGGTTTCAAGATTAGAGTGTTTCCATAAATAACAATGGTAGAACTCAATAAAAACCAGAGGACAAGTTGAATGTCTTCTTCTTCTTTTTTTTTTTTTTAATAGATTTATTAAAATGGAAAAAAAGTTAAAACAGCTTTAACTTGCTTTAGTATTGGTTTCAGAAAATTCTAAAGACTTAGGATAACTTTTTGAAAAAAAAAAAATGCTGAAATTTACATTTTCCTTTCTTAACACCAAAAAATAATTGTGGATAAACCTGTAAATTTAAAAACTTGATACATGTATATCATGATACATTGCGATATTTTTCTGAAATATTGTGATGTATCATGATACTATTTTCCTTACAATACACAACCCTAGCTCTCAACATTTCATAAAATGACCTCTGTAAATTCTTTGATTTTTTTGTTTTCATTTTTGGTCATGTCTGTATTTCATCAGATAAGCATTTTCAAGCCTTTTGACCTCTCGACAGTTTTGTGAGCAAGACTTTTCTTTTTTCAGTTATTGTAATATTATGATATAATTCTTTTACATTAAAAAAAAAATAACCTGATATGCATTTTCCCCCAATTTTTGTCAGAGCATAAACATAGTCAAGATGATTTTTTTTGTGTCTGCTGTTTTTTGTCTTTCTAGGACATTGTTCAAATTTTGTGATAAACACTTGTGGATGAAAAGTACTCACTTCATAGGAGATTAGTGTAAAGATGAAGGAAATAAATGAAAATTAGGATAACTCTTAATATAATCAAAAACAGATGAGACACATGGGGTCTTTAGATTAATTTTATTGATCAGTTTGTGAGTGAATTTTGTCATGATAGTCACACTAGGCAGACAAATGTCGTCACTGGAAACACCTTCACCATATATTGAATATTATATTACAGTGCAGGAAACTAATTTTGTTACAGCATCGATGCTGATTTGAATGCTTCCTTTGCTTACTGATTTGAATGCTTCCTTTGCTTGCTGATTTAATGCTAGTAATCCTTATCCTGATGCTGTTTTATAATTAGGTCAATGCTACCGGAAGTAGCATCATGCTACCGGAAGTAGATAATGAATTTCAGCATTGCCGTTAAAGCAATGAAAGTGCCTTTTACAATTATTTGATCATAATATCTCACTATGTATCAATAATGTGAATACTTTAACCAATATTCTTTCTTTCTTTTTTTAATTTTTTACTGAATTAAAACTCATTGATTTTCTGATGCTAGTAGGATAATGCTGATTTTATTTAGGTCAATGCTGGTTTTATCCTTTGCTTGCTGATGCTGATCCTGGTAATGCTGTTTTTTAAATGCTGATGCTGATGCTAGCTCGATCCTGATGCTACTAATGCTCATGCTAATGCTGGTTTATGTAACAAAATTAGTTCCCTGCACTGTAACTGGGATTGATAACCTAGATTTTTTTTTCTCTTATGTAAATTTATCTTTGGTAAATTTGTATAATCTTTAGGTAACAATCTATTCACAAATGAGTTGTTTTCTCTTCTTTTACAGACACCCATGTCAGGGAAATTTAGCAATGTCTGACATCAAGATGAGACTATCACAGTAAGGCTGGTCTAAAAAGAACTAGGTTCACTTAGGGCCTGTTTTTGGCCCTGTAAATTTCTGAAAAGTCACAACTGTTCAGTTTTAGTTGAATATACATTGAATTTCAGTTGGATCCTTGGTGACTGCATAATTTTCTAGCTAATCCATGTATTTTGACATCATGAATTGAGTTATTATCCTCAAATCCTGAAATTTCTTCAAAAATGGCCAAAAGTTTAAGCTGTTTTTCAATATTTTGCATAGAGCCCAGCCTCTGATTCAAAATGTCCAATTTTATAAAGAAAGAGCTTTTCTGGAGATTAAAATCCATGTTTTATTTTTTGGATCAAGAGGTGGGCTCATATTTTAAATCTTTGCTGAAGATACTGAAATACTCCCATTTTCTTCAAAATTCAATAACATTGCAATTTCACAAAGCCTGTTTTTAAGGAGGAGAAGGACCTTGAGCTGGAAAAAATACTTGTCATTCAATTTTTTTCATATTTTGTACATTTCTAATTAAGTATGTCCCACAAATTTTAAAGCAGTTAAATCATTAGGTTTCTTACCTTATTTTGGAGATATTGATTGACATATACTATGCCCTACAGTATCTAAGTGGAGTTTTAATTCTCCATGTTTCCGGGCGCATTACTCTGTCCATAATGTGATTTTTTAAGCATACATAAAAAATATCAAAGTGGACACGTATCTTTTAAAATATTTCAGAGTATAACTAGGATTTAAAATTCGAAAAAGCAAGTTTTGTCTATCACACTGCATCTGGATAGGGAAAATAACACACTTTTTAAGACACCTTAAACAATAAAAAACATAATTTACAAAAAATTCTATCATTCAATATTTTTTAATTTACGTTGAAATGCAAATCCTTCAAATTATTGATCAACTGTAAAAGTTTCGAATGATGAAGCTGACCTCATTATTTCACAGGACATCGTTAAAGAGGACATAAGCATGACAAAAACGTGTCATGTTACATTTCTCGAGTACGGGAAAAACCAACTATGACGTCACACGTAAGCTAAATAAGCGAAATAAGATATACCCACATAAGATTTCCATCATCAGCCATGCAAAAATAATTTTTGTGTTCCCCGTTTCTCAAAATATTTCATTATATACTGATTAGGACCTGTTTTTACATAATAATACCGCCCCTCTGTTCACCGAGTATGATCTTGCTGTACTAACAGATCGTGTATGACGTCACCGACTTGTTGGATGCGCAGTTTAGGGAAACAGAGGAGTGGATCAATCTTTTTCATAATTGTTAATGTTTACAAGAATGTTAAAACTTTTTAATTTTTTTAATATAAGATGGTAATTAAAGTTAAAAAATTGTCAAAAAATTAAACAAGAACTGATGCTTTACACGTTTTGCACTTATATAAACAGAGACTATGACATACTTAAGCAGAGTCATGTGACCATGTGTCCTTCATTCCCTTAATACCTGGACTCTCAGACGAAACCTTTTTTTTTTTTATAGGAAATGAAAATACTAAGTCTACTTTTTTTTGATGTTTGAAATGGGACATTGGGTCTTGTTCAGTTAATTGGTATATGGGCAAGACCATTTTATTGATAAAGTAAACCTAGTTCTTAGTACAGTGTTGTTTTATGTGAAAAGTTCTCATATTAAATTTGATCTTGAGTAAAAACTCTGAGAAATGTTATATTTTTTAAAGAATCGATATTACGGTACATAAATGTTTAGTAAATTTTGCATTATTTTCTTCAGATGATAATGGTTTTTTTTTCTTATTTGTCTTTTTTAATAATGATTATTTCTCCACTATTTTTTAGTGTTTTAATGTAAAATTTTACATGTACTGTATTACGAATATCATTTTCTCAAATCATGCTTTCAGTAATCTACAGAACACTGAGAGGGGTAAGAAGATCAATGCCGCTATGGTACAAACTGGGCGATATGTGGAACAGGCTGGAAAGGCAGTGGGTAAGGAGCCCCTCCCCTCTCCCCCCCCCCCCCCTATAATAATTATAAATTAGATTTCTTTTGACCTTGACTTTGTTCATATTTTTTGTCATTTGATTTTAGGTGGCGCCATAGTTAATGCCAAATCTGCCGTGTCTTCGTGGTTCAGTGGATGGAGGAATCCAAAGGGAGACAACCTGCCCCCACAAAGCTGATTACTAAACATGAATATATATGATATATATATTTATTGAAGTGCTTCTGAATTGGTTTAGTAAATGATTGTGTTGCATAATATTGTTACAAGCAGTGATTTCTGAATGCATTGAATGACAACTAAGTAATTTATATAATTGATATAGGATTGACATGTCCATTTTTTCAACTAATTTCATGGTTCTTTGTAAAACACTAGACAGTGATTTTTATGTATTCACAAGCTTGTATCATTTAACTATGTATGGCATTAATAACTGGAATACAGTCACTTAGTATTTGGCAATGCATTTACCAAAGAATTATGCAGATATTCTTCAGATTTTGCTGCACTGTTGTTTTAAACCATGGAGACAAAATTTACTGCACCATCTAACCACTTATGATATATGCACCAGCAAGTTGTTCACTTAAAGTATATTATTTACAATGTATTAATTTCTAAAGAAGAAAAGTATATGACTCATTTTCATGTATAAATTGTCATAAATATGTCATAGATGATTCTTTGTTATGCTACTAGTCAACTTCACAGTTACATTTAGGTGTGTTAGAGAATTTATTTGTTCAAATTGTTTTATTTGAGTTAAAAAAAATCAGAAAAATGTGTGATTTTTAGCAAATGCCATCTTGTGGAAAAAAAAGGAGTTGAGAGATGGATTTTTCTTTAATGTGAAGACGATACTCTTTGAAGTGGAAATTTTTGTGAGTGTTCTTTAAAAGAAGATGGATTTAAAAAATGAAAAATTCAAGCATTTATTATATCTCTAAGGACCAAATTTAAAAAAAAATTTGTCAAAATGCTTTATCAATTTATCTTTTAGCAAAAGATATCAAATTTTTGAAAGGTCTTTAAGAAATATCAATGCTTAATCAATTTATCTGTTAGCAGAGGGTTTTTAATTCTAGGTAACTAAGTTATAATTATTTTTATTTGGGGGGGGGGGGGGAGATGTATTTGTGCTTTTTATTCAATGTTAAAGGTTGCATCATAAAAGAAATTTGGGTTGTAAATTTGAAAGAAATGTTATCAAAAATGTAATAAGATTAACTGGTACATGTATTTCTAGTGGGACCTATATGGTTTTTATACCCCCTGCTTGAAAAGGTGGGGTATGTAGTGATGAGTGTGATTGTCCATCTGTCTTTGTTCTGTTTCATTTGAGGGTACCCAACTCTGATCAGCAACTCCTCCTATATAACTAAATAAAACTTGATGAGACTTTCACAGAATCTTCATTACAGAGTGCCATTGTGCACTTCTTATTTCACATTTTGAAGAGACACATATTTGGGGTTTCCCATAGCAAAACATGGCCATTTTTTTCTATGAAATTGGGGGTACTCGTCTTTTATCAGCAACTCCTCCTATACCACTGAGTAAAATTTAAGGAGAGTTTCCAAGATTCTTTATTACATAGTGCCATTGTGCATCTCCTATTAAAATTTTGATTGGATACATATTTGGGGTTTCCCACAGCAGAACATGGACTTCGCCATTATATACTTACATGGGAGATGGGGGTATCATTTTTTTTAGCTCATTGCTCACGGCACCTCTATTTTAAATCTTCTCTTTGTTATAATTCACTGCTTTAAACTAACAAATATTAATTAAAATTAATTATGTGAAATAATGATATGTTACACATATGCAACATTATATGCAAAAATTTCTTTGTCATGTATTCCATATGATAACTTAATTAGCTGTAACCAATTCATACTTAGCAGAGAAGCAAGATGTACTCATTATTGTTATTTTTCAGGGGTGTTTATAAATGTATGGCGTGAAATTAATTGTTTGTTATAAGTATGTTGTTAATATTGTTTGTTGTTTGTGTAAAATTATTGAGTGAGATGAAAATGTACATAAATGTGTTTAAAGCAAGAATGCTATAGTCATGTAATCATGATTAATAAACTTAAAAAAGACAAATCGGAATTTAATGAGATAATAAATAGGAATTCCCCAAGATGAAATGTCCATTCAGAATGTTTTAAATGAGTTAATAAGTATTTAGTAGCTTTGGTTAGTGGATCTAAGGTCATGACCTTTATGTACAGTCAGTCACCTCTACTTAACCTTGATGTGATCTAGGATAAGTTAATTCTTACAAATTAAAGTCCAGTGTTTTGTGATAAAAAGTTCTGTGTAAAAAGTCAATTTGAACCAAAATTGCAAACATCTTTCTAGACTGAGTATAGATGTAACACAACATTTATGGATTTCCTGACTGTGATGGTTACCAAATGAACCTTCTGTTTTTGCTCCCATTGGTTCTTTTTCACCAATTTGCAGACATTCTACTTATACACCCCACCCACAAACACAAATACCAAATATTCTGTACTTTATTTTGTTGAATTTTTTAAAGGATTTTTGAGGAATTTGTTATCAATTTTTTAAATTAAAATTTGATTTTGAAATCAGAAACTATTATAGCTTTGGTTATTGTTAGACTGGTGTTTTGGGGGTGCACATACATACAAATATTTTAAGTGCACTTTTATTGCATTTTATTTTGCAAAATAATCTTGCAAGTTAGTAAAGACATATCCTTGTCAAATATCAATATTTCCAAAAGATTTATTATAAATGTAATGAGACAAACTGCATAATTCTTGCTTGACGCACAGGTATATCTACTAAATATGATAAACTGTAGATGCTATATTTATAATACTTTGATAGAATTATGTGGAAAATATCGTTATTCTATGTGTTTGTTGCAATAATTTTATATGTACAGTTTGTTGCTGATTGCATAAGATGTACCGATATAATTTAATTGATTACTTGCTGCAGTGAAATTATGTATTATAGTATATCTTTACGAGTTGGTTTCTCCACGTTACTGGTAAATAAAATGAGTAAAACTCTTTTGATGTTTTGAAATTTTATTTTCATGATAAGTTTGAACTAAAAGACACCAGCATATATTACTAGTTTTATATTGAGATTTTAACTTATTTAAACCAAGGAAAAGTTAATAAATTTAAATTCTTTTGTCAACTTTTCAGTGCAAGATACTAGTATAGTGAACTCACCAATTATGAGAATACATGACTGTATAATCGAAGAAATACTCCATTCCTAAAGGATGTCTATAGGGGGCAATAGGGATAGAGCTGTAGAAAATCCGGAATTATTTCACTTTGTAATTTTTTTTCTACTGTTGTAGGTTTGTTTTTCAGTGCCATAATTATAATACTAGTATGGCCTTATGAAGAGAGTTAACTCTAAAACTTATAAGATGAAGAGAGACAACTCTTTATTTATGTATATCAAGCTATAACCCTAAAATTTATCAAGAGATGACCCTAAAGTTTAGAGACATATCAAGATATAACCCCAAAATTGATAAATATCAAAAGATAAACCTGAAATTGATACATATCGAGAGATAACCCTAAAATTGATATCAAGAGTATCAAAAATATTTTTTTGGCAATTTAACGTCTCTCTCGTGATTCTTGACCTATATTGGCTAAAATATGAATTTCTTAACATGTACATGTATATGTATAAAGCATGCTTTTCTCTGTTGAAATTCAAATTGATAAAAGGATCCCGTGAAGAAATGGTGGTATGAAAGGAAAACTTTGATTAAAAAAAGTAATACTGATCTTTTTGAACGTATACAGTTCAAGTGCAAGAAAAGGAAAATTGAGAAAAAGAAGAAAACGATCCAATGTTCGCATCGCACAGAATTCTATGAACATACTAGTCAGTGGGTGAGAGTAGATTTTATTTATACTAATAAGATACATGTACATAAATTAATTTTAGTGATTTGTAGATTCAAAATGTACACTTATGGTGAATTGCGTTTTTTAAACAGCCTTCGCCAGTCCAAAACCCAGTGACCATTAGAGTTAACGATGAAGAAAGAACTCGGGTAAATGCGTTTGTCGAGGATCCCTTTCTGGGAGCTCTTTGCATCAGTTGGTGTCGTATTTCGATCAGGAATTCTTACTTCCTCAATGCCGAATGTTACGCTATTCAAAATGATTCCAAGAGAGAGTATACTCAAAATGAGAAATCTTTCTGCCATATTTCTCTGTAAAAAATAATAATAATAAAAATAATCGATCAGTACAAAATTAAATGTGTCCTTTCGAGTTACTAGTATATATACTGTAGAGCAGGTATATATATATATATATATAGATAGATAGATAGATAGATAGATAGATAGATAGATAGATAGATAGATAGATAGATAGATAGATAGATAAATAGATATATATATATATAGACGTAACGTTAAAATTGTATTAAAACATTTCATAATCTACTGCCAAAAATAATTGTTTACACAATTTTTTTTTTATTTTCTAAATTTGCTTTTCATCTGATTTTTGGACATTTAGCAAAAAACGGACGTTTTAGCGGAAAGCTTGTGGACATTTTTATAGTGGAAGAATTATAGAACATTTTAGCTAAAATTAAAATAGTATGTAGATCGACATTTTAGCGGATAGTTAGGTAAAATAGATTCATACCTCTTCCATCAGACAAACTAAGTCTGTTGCATCCTGCTCATCAATGGGGGAGTTGGAAGTAGGATTTTGAGCAGGATATAATTGATGCGCATTAAAATACAATGAACGTCTAAAACACCAGCAGCACTATTGAAATATCAAACAGCACTGCAGATATGCAAAACTTCATTGAATCTATTTTCTTTTAATCTTGCTTTTGCTTAAATTTAATTTTTCGAATGAAATATATTCATGGACAGGACATTGTATATACAAAGAATATGTTTGTTGAGTTTGTCTACTAGATTGGTATTAAACAGCCAACTGTCTGAATAGCTCGAAAGAAGATGGGCGAACAAGACGTGCAAACTGCCGTATAAAGATCCAATTCAATTTTGAACTTAGTATTTACAGCAACGTTCTAATTATTGAAAGGCATGAAATTATGACAAACAAAACTTTACTGTCGGAAAATATATTCTATGGTTAAAAAAAAATTTCTTAGGATTTGAACCCAAGCGAAAAAAAAGTCTGAGTATCAGTTTTGTTTTTTTTTTATCAACTTCAGATTGACACTCTAACCACTATGCCAAATAAAAGATAATGGCATTTAAATCTTATTTGTGATATATATGACTGTTGAATATCTGGATTTCAAATATTTCTCGGAAAGATACGGATTTTGTGTCATAAAAGTGAATTTTTAAGTTAGAGTGGGTCCTTTCTCAGTGTTTTTGTTAAGCAACGAAAATAAATCTTAAAACATTTTTCGAAGGTACACTTTCAAATAAAATGAGCGTGGTCCTCTTTATGAAATGTCATTGAGCATGTTTTGTCCTCTCTGGTGCGTGCATGTTATTTTATAGACGAAAATTTTTGACACTGAGAGTATTACAAAGTGCGCGTTTTACATAAAGTACATGTATTAATAATAACTAAAATAAAAAAAAAAGCGTTATAATTGAGATTTAATTTTTCACATTGAATTCTTGCTTATTGAACTATGGGCATTTTTCAGCTTGTTCGCCCATCTTCTTTTAAAAGTACAAAGAAACAAAAGAAGACATCTATATAAGTTGTTTATACTTACTTGTAGGGATGAGAGGACACAGCTGTCGTACGTCAAATAACCCTAACTCTTATGCGATACCTATATTTATATCCACACTACAGATGAAAGTGACTATTGATTTCAAACGTGTCAAGAAAAAAAAATCACCCTCAGCTGGTTAAACATGTATCATTGCAAAATATGACAAATGCTAGAGTTTTCAATAATTGACCATTATTATAGGAGGAAAAGAGATTTAATAATTATCCAGTTGCAATTAATAATTTTGTTTATTAAATAACGTCTTTTAAAAGGTCAAAACGTTTGCATTTATAATTTATTGAAAAAATTGTACTTCATTTGATAAATCACTGTTTCCGTTGTAAA